AAATAAAGAAGTGTCACCCTTGGATTGTGTAAAGCCAAACCTTAAAATAGCAGTAGAAAACTTAGCAAACCACTGCCTTGAGGCCTGTTTTAATCCATAAAGTGACCGTCGAAGGCGACAAACTCTATTATCTTTGGCCGACAAATATCCAGGTGGTGGTTGCATGTAAACTTCTTTACGTAAATCTCCATGAATAAAAGCATTATGCACATCCAATTGATGGAGATCCCAATTTCGCACATCTGCAACAACTAAAAATGTACGAACTGTAGTGAGTTTGGCAACTAGAGCAAACGTTTCATTATAATCTAAACCTTCTACTTGGTTGTAGCCTTTAGCAACAAGGCGCGCCTTATATCGCTCAATTGATCCATCACGAGCTAAACTTAATTTTGTAGACCGATTTACAACCAATAGCTCTTTTATCTACTGGGAGATGTTCTAAGGTCCATGTGTGGTTTTGTTCAAGTGCTTCTTGCTCTTTTCTCATGGCCTGCTTCCAGTGTTCCACCTGTACTGCTTGTTTGTAAGATGTTGGCTCATTATGGTGGGTAATGGCCGAAAGAAAACATGTATGAGTCGTGGAAAAATTGGAGTAGGAAACATAGTGACATAAAGGATAAGCTGGACCAATACCTGAGCAAGCTGTGTTGGATGATCTTGAAGAAAAACTTTTATTATTGTTCGGGAGATTGACTAGAAAATCTTTAAGATGAGCTGGTTGGGTTTTCGTGCGTTGAGGTCGAGTTGGAACAATAGGTGTTCTTGAAGGTTCAATAATCTGATCTTGTGATTGTTGAAGATTTATGGCGTCACTTGGAGCCATATTTGGATGTATTGTGCCTGGATTGAGATTTTCTTATGGTGGACCTTGGCTTAAAAAGATTTGATCAGGATCATCAATCGACAATGGTAAAGGTACTCGTGATTGCTTTTTAAGAGAAGAAAGAGTATTTTCTTTATAAGGAAAAACTCTTTCATTAAAAATCACATCACGAGAAACAAATACTTGATGTGTTTTTAGATCAAAGACCTTATAACCTTTATGACCATATGGATAACCCAGAAAAATACAAGGTTTGGCTCTATCATGAAATTTATCACGAGTTCGTGGAATAACTGAAGCATAACAGAGACATCCAAAAATACGTAAATGTGCATAAGAAAGTTTTGAGGAAAACAACAACTCATATGGACTTTTTCCAGATAAAAGAGGTGTTGGTGTGTAATTAATTAAATAAGTTGTTGTTAGAATGCATTCTCCCCAAAATTTTATTGGTACCCTTAAGGATCTAGCGACATCAGGTAAATGTCGATGTTTACGTTCTACTACACCATTTTGTTGGAGTGTGGAGATACAAGAAAACTGATTTAGAATTCCTTCTTCCCGACAACATTGTTGAAGTGAACTATTAGTAAACTCTGTGCCGTTGTCACTGCGAATGATTTTAACAAGACGATTAAATTGTCTTTGTACCATTGCAAGAAAGGAAATCAATAAATGAGAAACTTCAGTTTTAGACTTAAGCAAATACACCCAAGTAGTTCTGGTAAAATCATCCATGATGGTCAAGAAATAATGAGACTTTGACAAAGAAGGTGAATGATAGGGACCCCATAAATCACAATGAATCAAATCGAAAGCTTCATTAGATTTAATAGAACTAACAGGAAATGACTTCCGAATTTGCTTAGCTCAGTGGCAAGCATCACAATAATCATCTAACTTATTAAAATTTAAAAACTAAAGTTCTGAAATGAAAGACAAACGACTAAAAGATACATGACCAAGACGTTGATGCCACAAAATAGTTTGGTCTTTATTTGACAAAAGAGCTGAAACTAGTGCTTGAATTTGGAAATAATAAAGGCTATTCTTCAGTTTACCCATGCCAATCAGCTTCCTCGTGGCTAAGTCCTGCAGAACACAAAAGGAAGGGAAAAAAATGAGCAACACAATTTAATGATTGTGTCAACTTACTGCTAGAAATAAGATTGCAGCCAAACATTGGTACATGTAAAACATGATTTAAGGTTATTGAAGAATTAAGAGTCATGTCTCCACAAGTATTAGCAGTAACAGATGAACCATCAGGAATAGTTATATTAGAATCAAAGAGAAGCTTTCTTTCATTTGACAGAGAATTCTTCTGACAAGTCATATGATCAGACGCTCCCGAATCTAATATCCATTCATAATTAGCGGTAGGAAAAGTAACAGCCTTACCAGCAAAATTATCCATTGAATCAATACCCTTGGAGTTTTCAAGGCTTAAAGAGACATAAACTGGTTATATTGTTCTTTTGATAAACCACTTATTAGGGAGTAATCCACACGTTCAACTTCTAATGTTCGACTGGAATTAATTGACTTACCCTTTCCTTTTCTATTGTTTTTTCACCAATCTGGATAGTCATGTAGTTCAAAACATTTGTCCTTGGTGTGTCTCCACCGTTTACAGTGATCACAAAATAGTTTAGAGACATCACATTTACCTGACAATTGACGAGAATTGAAAGTATTGGTGTTTCTCTTTGAAGCAAATATCGCCCCCTCCAATAAATTATTTCCTTTGCTTGTATTGAGTTGTTGTTGTCGTTCTTCCTGTGAAACTAGTCCATACACACGGGCTAGAGATGGTAATGGTTCAGTATTTAAAACCTGAGATCGAACAATATTAAATTTCTCATTCAATCCTATAAGAAACTGATGAACCTTCTTTTTTTCCCTTTCTGCTTCATATTCCTTAATGGCATCACAACTGCAATTTGGAAACTGACAATACGATCCATACTCATCCCATAATCCCTTCAATTTGGTGTAGTAAACAATGACCTGCTATTGTGTATTCACGATCTCCATTTTCAACTGGTGAACTCGAGAAGCATTTTCTTGTGAAAATCTCTCCTCTAAATCTTTCCAAAGTTCACCTGATGTATCAAAAAAAGCTACACTACTGTGAAGTGAGGGATGAAGAGAGTTAAAAATCCAAGATATTACCATGGAATTTCCCTTAATCCAGACAACTTCGTTTGTAGAGCTTGTTATTGATCGCGGAAGACTACCATCAACAAAGCCTAACTTTGACTTAGCCAACAAGGCATTTCTCATGGCCCTCCGCCATATCGAATAGTTATCTTTTGTGAGTAAACATGTGACCAGAGACGCTCCAGGGTTTTTCAGTTGGTTGCAACGTGTATGGAGAATTGGCTACTTCATTATCGTTCCCCGTCATTATTATTTTGTTATTGTTTACTGATGCTCTAATACCATGATAAATTGGTAAAACATAGTATCGATCAAATTCATAATGAAAGAGCAAGACGCTCTTTTTGTAGATACAAAGTACAGGAACAACCGATGTGGTTAACTCCTACAAAGACACAAATTTTATACCTAGAAGAGTCCTATACGAGACAAACTGTATACCATATCTTTTCAATTCAAAATTCAAACTAATGCATATCTATAACTAACTACCAATACGCTATTAGAGACTTAGATAGGTATGTTTAAATATAGCTAAGTTCAGTAGATATAATAATTATGTTTGCTTCGATAGGTATTTTTTTTCGTTTTTCATATTTTCCTCGTAGCATTTCAAAAGTCCTTCAAGGATTATATACTAATTAGGATGAGTATCATGATAAAATTTGGTGAAAGTTTAGCGCTGATATTTTTTATTAGGGAAAGATACAATCTACATTTATTCTCAAAAAAAAAAAAAAAAAAGATACAATCTACATTTAACATTATGTAGTTGATCAAAATAATAACCAACAAATATTATATATATATATATATTTGATACAAAATAATTTATAGTTTTTGATACATTAGGCTAGTAATTATTTTGATAGTCATATTGATTCTCATTAATTCAAATTCATGCCAGATAGAGCTTCCTATCCAAAACAATTTCATGCTCAAGACTTGAAACTGGAATGTTTGATTAAGGGAGGAACTCAATCCACTAGACCACATGATGACCTCTTATTAGGAAAAAATTATGTAGTACAATAAACATATGGTATGTATTTACTATACATCACTATAGTTTGGATTACTATTCACAACTATTGCTTTATAAATATATCTATGCTAATGCCCTCTCTCCCCTCTCTTGCCTCTCACCTCTCTCTTTTTGCCCTCTCTCCCCTCTCTCTTTTTGTCCTCTCTCCCCTCTCTCGCTCGTTTCTCTCCTCCCTTTCTTCTCTCTCGCCTCTTCCGCTCTATCTCCCTGCAATACAAATATAAATGGCAACACTCAATGATATTACAAATACAAATGGTAACTCCTAAATACAATACACAAGACAACTTGTGAATACAAATACAATTTGTTACCAATTACAACAAAGATACAAATTGTATTCGTTAATATCCCTGATACAATTGATTTTCATCAACAAATTGAATACAATAGTTTTTAATACAATTGTATTCGTTGATACAAATCAGTTGTATCAATTGTATTCATGATACAATTATCGGTCAGATATACAATTATCAATCAAATATACAAATCAATTGTATCTCTCTCCCATATTTCGCTCTATCATCCCTCACCCAATCTCACTCTTCTCTCTCCACCTTTTTAGTAGCTTGTTTTGTTATACAAATCAATTGTATTCATGATACAATTAGATCAATTGTAGTCATGATACAATTAGATTAATTGTATTCATGGTACAATTAGATCAATAGTATCTCCCTCCCCGTTCATGCTTGATTCTCTCCCCTTTCTCCCAATCTTGCTCACGTCTCTCCTTCTTATAAGATGTATCTACGAATCATAATTAAGAAAACAATAGATAGCTACGAAGCCTGATTGTGTTTCTAGTATTAGCTGTTTTTGAAATTTCCTTCTTTTATTATTGGTTCATTGTTAATTAGAATTAGTTAATAGGCTACATTGCTAAAGGGCTGTAATAGAACGGCTACTGAAGTAAAAGATCATATTTGTGAAAAATTAGCCTAATCGAAGCCCAACTTGAACAAGCCCTTCAGGTATGAAACGGCGTCGCATCTGACTGTGACAAACTGACAGCAACCTCCGGCAGCCATTCTTTGAGATCTCCGCGTTCACATGTATGAGCTTCTTCTGTGTCTGCATTCGTTTGATTACACAGTTGTTGAAAGGTGAAGTTTGATCACAAAGAGGTAAAGATCATCTTTTTGTCAACTCTCATTTAAAATCAAGATTCCATCTTTTTCTCCTCTTTTAATCCATCTGTTTAAGGTTCTGCTTAATATCCTTAAATAGGAAATGTCTCTACTCCATGTAGCATCATGTGCCCTTTGAGCACATTCTTGATTTGGAATGATTATAGTTGATGTTGAGGTCCCGTGTATAATAGACCCTTGTGGTTCTGCCCTGAACCAGTGCATAGCGGGACCTTTACCCCTTTTTTTCTTAGTTACATGAGTGTGAACATGTATGATCTGCTTGATAGAATTTATGATAACACATTTCTGATGTAAAGTTACTTTTTTGAAAAGTTTATTGTTAGCTATCCATTAATTTGTTTGTACTAGTTGATCATAAACTTATTAGAATATTTTTTCCTTTTTTAAAATGGTCTATTAACTTATCCGACAATTAGTTATCAGTATGTATGATATGCAGTTCTTTGTTTGTGAAATTTTGCTGAACACTGTGGGGATGTCTATTCAGTTTCCTTTTGTTTTCTTTTATGGTGCTTAGTTGGGATAACTTTATACTCAATATGGTTGCTGCTGCATATCACCAAGCAATATGCTTCACTGCCAACGAGGGTGCTAGGGACTTCCTGGTCACATCTTCATCTGGGAGTCTTAAAATGAAACCAGTGTTTAGAAAAGAGAGATGCAGTTTGAGGCAGTATGTAAACTGTGTGAAGTATTCATCAGAGTCACCTTTATGTGCTATTAAGCCAATTTTCTCCTCATTATCAAGTACCAATGATTCGCGGAGAACAGTACGTGAGTACACTCCTTCCCAGTAATTCTTGTTATCATCTATCAAAAAGTGAGTTCTCGTTATTCGTTTTGGTATCTGGATTCTAGTTTGTGATCTTGTCCTATTTAAGGCTTTATTCCCTGCAGCTGAATCATACTTGATCTTAATACGGCATGGAGAATCAATGTGGAATGAAAAGAACCTGTTCACTGGTTGTGTAGATGTGCCACTCACCACTAAAGGTGTTGACGAAGCAATTGAAGCCGGTAAGAGAATTAGACACTTACCCATTGATGTTGTCTACATCTCTGCATTGATTCGTTCTCAGATGACGGCCATGCTTGCCCTAACAGAGCACCACTGCAAGAAGGTACTTCTGCATTTTGGTCTTCAAAAAATCTTGTCTTTTTGAAGCATGGTCCTGCTAACTAGTGCAAGTCTCTGAAATGACTTAGGGTAGCACTAAAAATATTCTTGAATTTACTTTTTAGTTTGAATAACTTCATGTACAGTTGGAACAATTACAGCTGTCCTTGAGCTGGCTGCTCTTATGCTATGTCAAGTCCCCTTATGATCTGTCATATGCATATCAAAACTTGTCCTTTTCTTGGTGAACCATTCTGGAGAAAGTTCCCCTTATCAATTGTTAAATTTGTTTGCTAATTATTTCCAATCATTTGGCCTGCTTTATGCTAATATTCCTGATTCATAAATCAGAATTCATGAGGACAGGTTTAAAAAAGTATAGACACAGCATGAATTAGCAATGTGAAATAAGATTATCCTGAGCTTCATAAACAAATAAGCCTTTCTGTTTGTTGTGTTGCAAGAAATGTTCTTCCTGCTTCCTGGATAATGTTATCCTATCTAGAAAAGTCTCTTTCTTGGTTATCACTTATCCGTTATCTATGACTTATTGTTACCTTTATATGTTTTTTTGTCATGCTGTAAGACATGGATGACGGTCAAACAGGATTTAGCACCCAAAACAATTCAGGAAATAAAAAATGCATCTTTATTGCAAAAATTACATTAAATCTTTCCATGAGATTCAAGAAATGAGGCTCCCTCCTGATTGTAGTGTAAATTGTCTCCATATTACTGGAAGGTGGTTGGTATACCAAAGATTGCATGCTCTTTTGTTCGTATGTCACCAATATAATGTGCAGATGATATCAAATTTATCTAAGAAAAGGCCACTGTATATAAGCACTTATCCTTCTTGAATTTTCAGGTGCCCATTATTGTACACGATGAGACTGAACAAGCCAAAGTATGGAGTCAAATTTATAGTGAAGGCACCGAGATGCAGTCTGTTCCTGTTGTTAAAGCATGGCAACTGAATGAAAGAATGTAATTTAACAGCTCTCATTTTGTTTCTATTCCAATATGATGTCATCCCAGATTCAGTAGGATGTTATTATTTTATAGGTACGGGGAACTTCAAGGGTTTAATAAGCTGGAAACAGCTGAAAGATGCGGAAAAGAGCAAGTCTATAAATGGCGCCGAAGCTATGATGCTCGACCACCCAACGGTGAGAGCTTGGAAATGTGCTTGCGAAGAGCTGTTACCTATTTTAAAGAGCAAGTAAGCTGCTGTGACTATAAAAAGCATATAGAGGAGACTAGTTTCTATTGACGCAGGGCTTGATATCTTGTTCTCTCATTACTGAGCATTTACTTGCAGATTGAACCCCAACTTTCCAGTGGAAAGAATGTAATGGTAGTAGCTCATGCAAATTCATTGAGGTCCATCCTAATGTATCTCGATAAATTGACTGCTGAGGAGGTAATGAGTATTGTCATTTTCCTGTTAGTATCACACATTTTCAGTGCATGTATGTTAGTTGGTTATGCATCGGTCTTTGGTAACAGGTCATCCACTTAGAACTCTCAACTGGAGTGCCAATGCTTTACATATATAGAGAAAATCAATTCATCAGGAGAGGAAGTCCCTTGGGATCTACGGAGGATGGAGTTTATGCTTATACAGAGGTAAAATCTTTTTTCCCACTTAGTTAATGTATGTCATTCTATAGGAAATAGTTGGTAGATAGCTCTTGTTTATTTCTGTATCCTGAAGTACTTCAGATGTCAGACTAAAAATAGCAAGTAAGTTGATAGAAAGTTAAGCTTAAGCTGATGTTATGTTATTGAGATGCCACTTTGATGATGCCAAGGGTACAATAGCTTTATGAAAAGTTCAAAAAAGAAGAACAAGATGATCTCAATTGACCATAACACTAAATTAAATATAATTACAATAGTCCCTTGTGGTCCGGCCCTTCCCCGGACCCTTTACATAGCGGGAGCTTTAGTGCACCGGGCTGCCCTTCTAATATGAAAATTATAATAGGAGGTTGTCAAGCAAAGAACGTAGTTCAACAATCAATGTTATTGATAGTTATCAAAGACAGAGTAGAAAATGCCAACGTTTGCTGAGTCTCTAAGCTCAAAGTGCAACTAAAGTGTGGATTTGAGTGAATAAAGACTCAATGAAGAAGAAAGGGTAATTCAAGAAAAGGTAACTAAAAACACAAAACAATTGGTTGAAGAACAGATATAAAATAATACAATTAACTGAAATATATGAAGTAAAAAGCTTGTCAATCAAAATGTTACTTTAATTTCTGATCGAGATATAAAAATGTAACTTTAATTTTTTATTTTGGGTTGGTGACTAATTTTCGTATGCTAAATTCCTAATTTTAATTCTTAATCACTAACATATTCATTCATAACGTTCTTTTAACAATTAATATGTCACTTTCCCTGCTATATTCATTGTTTAGTCTCCGCCCTACTAAAGGGATCCTGAGAGGCATTGAAGTTCTGCCTAAGCGACTGCACTTTGCCTACACCAGGGAGTTACAACATGTGACTTCTGAGCATCAAATGGAACAGTTAGTTAAGTGTAAATGTCCTTTAGTATACTTGTTCTACACTCATCAAAAGAATTATATTAACTCATTCCTTTTGCAACATTATAGCAAACGATGAAGGCTTTTAAGAAAATGACAAATATAAAAGGCATTGTTCAAAACATTGCTGCAGGTGATGTGATATGTAGCGATATGTTACCTTAACATTTATGTCTCTAGTTGCCACCTATCATATCAAAAATCTCTTCGTAAAAGATAGAAAGCCATCTCTCCCTCTGTTCAAGTTATCAAAAGAAAAAGCAGAAAATTAGGAATTAGAATCCCGGTGTTGTTTAGATACTGTTCAAAGTGAAAATAATTAGGGATGGCAGGCGGGGCAGGGCAGGTTCAGATATACACAGTTGTGGTGCGGATCAAAAATTCTTTTTAAGAAATAGTGCGGTGTGGGTGTGGTACATCATCTCTGATTGTCGTTGTTGGACTTTCAACAATCATACCTTCAAAACAATACTAATCTTTTTCACTTTTCTGCTAGATGCACATCTGATATGCTGCATGAAACCTTGTAGAGCTGTTGAAATTTATGTAGTCTATTATCACTTTCTGCAGAATTTGGCCTTATACAAGCAAAATCTGTTAGATGAAGTGTTAGATGAAGTGTCATTATAACTTTTTCTCCTGAAAAGAAAAAGCTATCATGCAAGCTTAAATATGTTCATGTTGTTAGAAGTTCATTGAGGTATCTTGAGTCATCAATAATCCTGAGAAACACAAGAGCCATGACGGAAGAAAGTTTTTGTAGCTACGTGCTGTGACAGTCAATTTCTAGTGTTGCTCAACGCAAATTGAGCCCCTCGTTATGGTCAAGTGAATACGCCAGTGGAGATCTGGCAACACAATATGAGGACTTCTTGCAGAACAAGGGATATCAGATCAAAAGCTGATTTCTACTTGCCTGTTTTCTGCTATGGTCATTTGAGGAACTATGTGAATATATTTTTATGTTCCTTTAGCCAGGGTTTCTCCCATTTACATTAGATATAATTGTCCATTTCTTTGGTCCTGGAAGATTATTTCTATATGTTTATTAATGATCTTTTTTCTGTTTTGTCATGTATGTTGGTTTGGCTGTCTTTTGATCAGCTTCTATATCATTTGTCTTAAGGACAAGCTTAGCTTGTCTAATCTCAAATTTCATGGTAGATGGGTCCAAGAATGTGGCTATTTTTGGTTGTACAATCCAACTTCTCTATCATAGCAGCAGTACAGGGAGGAGGATGTATGCAAAAAGTTACTACTGCAACAAATATTAAATTTTGAACCTGTAGTTTCTTGTCTTTTGATTTTTTTTTGGTATCGTTTGGCGGGATGTATTAGAGAAAAAATATTAGTTTCGCTATGGAAAAATCACCCATATACACATTTAAGAGTCAATATTACAAGTTTTAAATCTACTTTAAACAAATTCTTGCTTATAACAGTTTAATTACGTGTTATAACATATCACTAATTATTTATATATCAATTAAATTTTACTTTATTCAATAATTAATCTTTTTATAATTTTATATTATTATTATTAAATTATTTAAATAAAAAATTCCATAATTATCTCTTACATAATTATAGGGATTTACATTGATTTCTGTACTTTTTTACAGCTACATGCCACACCCCCACACCCCACCTAAATCCCTCACCCCACGTCAATCCCACTCCCCTAAGCAGCACACCTATGTTATTCAACACCCCACCACTCCACGTTCAAAAAAACAGAAATTAAAGCCGGCTTCAACATCTAAAAATTGATTAGGAGAAATATATTCTCCATACAATCAAAAATAAAAGGGCAGATTCACAACAGTAAGAATCAATATTTTAAGATTCTTCAAACAAAACATGTCAAAGAAACTTGATCATACTCCTCGAAAGAGCCTCGATTAGTAGAAGCGACATCTACTACTGAAATAGAGGCTCCAACATTCAACATTTTGACTCAATCGTAGCTGCGAAACAAGAATGAAAGTCCGGTGAAAAAGGGTGGTACTTCACAAAGGAAGAAACATGTTACACAAAAGGGGAAGAAGAGTCAAGAAAAGAAAATTGAAAGTCCTGCAAATCAAAAATGACAAAAAAGGAAAAGGAAAATGATAGAACCCCCTTCTGATTACAACGAAGGAGGACTCGGAAATCCCAACACCCAAAAAAGGCAAAAAAGTGGTTAGGATAAATATTATATTTAATTTATTTTACAATTATTCAATTTAGTAGATTTTTTGTTAAAACTGTATATTATGCATATTATTGTTTGGCATGAATTTTGTTTAATGTTGGCATGATTGGTATAAAAAGGGTATGACGTGTTACTTATATTTGGTGTGAAACTTGTTTAAATTTGGTAAGAAGTTGGTACACAATTTAGAGGAAAGCTATTTTTTTCAAATTATTCTCATTATGTCTACTAATCTGGCATGAAACATGAATAATATTTGTATGAAAGCTGGCTTAATATACGATTTATGAATATGGTATGAAATGTGTTTTAACATTGGTATGAAACTGATTTATTGTTGGTATGAAAGCTGACTTAAGTTGTGTATTATTTTTATCAAAAAATTGTGTGATATCAGTGGTCCAATTATGTGAATTGATTATAGTTTGTTAAATCACTCATTTTTTGTATAAATTATGACTAATGTTGATATGAAATTGGTATTTCTTATAATAGGAAGGTTTCTTTTTCAGTTTCTCCAACTAGGTTGATGGCACTACGGAAAAATAAAGAACGATGATGGCGCGATCAGTGAGAGTGAAGTAACTGGAACTGTTGCTAGCAAATTTGGTGGACCCCGCATGGCAAAAGAACATGCTCCGGATACCAGCAATTATCCTACATCAAGACCACGGAGATCAAATTTGAGATAGTTGATTGCAGCTTAGACTCTTTAGTATTTCATGGTTTTTTAAACTTTTGAACGATATATATTTGTTTTTGATACAATTTTAAGTATTGAATGATATATAATATACATTGTTTTCTTCAAGTCCGTTATCAACTATATATGAATTACAGATTGACTCTCATAATTTCAGGATACTAGTTATATATAGGCGGCATATCAATTGGATACAAATTTCTGGATATCAGTTATATACAAACTACATAACAATTGGATACATAAACAATTTAGTTTTGATATTTAATTGGAGACCAAAATGAACACCATATAATTGGTATCCAAATTGTATATAGTTTGGCATCCAAATATTCATACCAACATTTATTCAAGTTTTACAAAAAATATTATGTAATATAAAGAAAAGAATGATCATACAAAAAACATCAAAATTTAAATATATTATACACAAATAAAATTAGAAAATTTCATTGTTCTTAATTTTTTTTGTCTGTTTCATTAAAATAATAAATCGCAAATAATACTAACCAGAAGGATCTCATCTATCACCATGTTTAATTAATACGGATAAGACGCCTTTCATTACAACAAATTGAAGATTGTTGAACCAAAACTATTTGGAACTAGTCGTGAATGACGACAATTACAGGAAAAAAAATTCCAGGAGAGAGAAACGTTTGAAATAAAAAAAAAATTTACTTTTGAAATACTTTTAACTGATTTGAGTAAAAAAAGGAAATCAAATATTCATATTTTGTTTTGAAAAACGTAAATAAAAAAATAGGAGAGAGAAATGTTTGTAATAAAAAAAAATCTACCTTTTGAAATACTTTTAACTGATTTGAATGAAAAAAGGAAATCAAATATTCATATTTTGTTTTGAATCTCCTAAATTTATGGCAATTATTAATTATCATAAGTGTATTCAAATGAATTAATATAACTATATCCGTTTTTTACCCTTTATTATTTTTTAAAAATCAAATTTTTACTATTATTTTTTTCTTTTCTTTTTTTAATAAAATGTTAGAACCTGAAATTTTTTATTGTTACAACTTGAAAGAATTATTATACTGTCATAACTTGAAATTATTAATCTTATATATGTCATTTATAAAATTTTCACGTAAAGCGGAGATTAATTAAACAAAACATTATTTTCTTATCTACTATTTAATTTGGTGTATTAAAAAAATATGTATTGCATAATTACTAAAATTATTATTTATTTATAAAAATATTCTCCACTTTCTTTAACTTTATACACTTTTAAGAGCAATTATATGTTTAATCATATTTATACATGTATCAAAAACTCTTATATTGGTAATATCATGATTTAATAGTATTAATTATACCTAAGATAATAGCAAAAGTGAAAATTTTATATTTAATATTATTCTGATATACTATATATACCAAACTATTACGAAGTTGTGTAGTAGAGTGAGAATGACATTACAAATTAAACAAGAGATAATAAGTCATTGAATTAATCTAGATGTACATAGAGTGATCAAACACTAACCCGAATTAAATTTTTTTAAATAAACTTGATGAAATCAATATTTCAGACTTTTTTTACCATTTGAATATATTGCATTTTTGAGATCAAACAATACATTTTGTCAGTGGTTTCTCAAGTCATTTAAAAAAAAATTTACTCTCTTTTTTAATATAAATATAAAATTTGTGCGAAAGCTATTGATTTCCAATTAGGCAATTCTAATAAGATCTTCCAAGAGTCGTCTTCATATTTCTTTTATAAATAAATATTTTTAATTGCAAATTTTTAAATACACATTGTTTATAAAGATCAACTAATCAATAAGTAGTAATAATTAATCTTTAATATAATTTTTTCACATAAACAAATAATTTTTTGATGCTGAACATGAGTATTTTTTCACAAAATTAAAATAATGAATCTATTTTTACAAACTATAAACTATGGGGGGATTTTACATTAAAAAAAATAATTAAAATCATAATTTAGAATCCCTAATTCATTTTTAAAAAAATATTTAAAATTTAAAATTATGATTCTAAATTGCTTATCCAAACGCTTATTTAATATACCAATTTGAAATCACAACTTCATTTCCAAACACAAGTTTTAATTAAACATATTTGTTAATCAAAAGGAAATAAATAGATAAAATTTAGAGAGACATATGTTGATAGTGATGCATTAACCGCTTAATCACCATTTGCCCCAAAATCTCCGAAAGATTTGGCGCCAAAATCTCATCCCATCTAACTTTTTTTTTTTTTGTAAAGTAAAAAACTATTTTTTAATTAAAAAAATAAAACCCTAAAAGTAAAAACAGAAGAAGCATTTTAATTACATTTTGTTCACAATAAAAATAATTTTTATAGAAACAAAAAAAAAAGCTTAAAGCTTAGGAAATACAAAGTCAAACACAAAGCACATAACAAAAAAGAACACAGAAATTTAGGTAGACAACAAGAAAGGAATCAATGAAAGTTTTTCTTGGATTTTACCTTTGGTGTTCTGTGCATTAATAGATTATTATTTAAATTAATTAGAATCTCTTTAATTAATTTATAAGAAGAAATTAGATTTGACTCCAATTTTGGAATTGTGGATTTATTAATTTAATCCAACATTATATAATCTTGAATGTCGTCTCCAACAAGGTGTTGTAAATCTGATGATAGCATCCACATGATTAAGGCGGAAGCCGCCGCTGCCGTCGTCGTCAAAACCACCGCCAGCGGCGGCGTTACCACCACCTTTGATAATTGTGTCAAGGGTTATGAAAAGAACAAGGTACAATTTATTTATTTTAAGATTTTTTAAAAAAATAAAATAAAATTTTGATTTTTTTTTTTTAATGA